CTCTCTGACTTTGAAGGTACATGAAACAAAGTCTACTAAAGGGCACCGATTATCTGGCTAAAGCAGGGCCAGGCCAGCACACAACTCTCCCACCAAATGTACATTTGTGCAAAATTGCACTTGTAAGAATGGCACTCTCCTCTGACCCATGTCTGCAACACATCAGGAGACAGGTGGATGATTTAAGGGAGCCCATCAGAACAGTTCTTCCATGCAGGTCAACAGAAGAAAGCACAACACCTCCCCAGAGGCAACACCACGCAGCGACAGAGCCAGAGGTCACATCACTGGTGGCAGCTAGCTGTCTGCAGAGTGATGCTCTGCACTAAGCTGGGAACAGAGACCTGCACAGAAACCTGAGAGAGCATTGCTTGGGAACGGGATGTCAAAGCAAACACCTTCTCTGCACAAAATATTACAGGGGTGCAGAGGCAATGAGCACACCCAGGGAAGGGATATGGGTAGCTCTGGGGGCATACAGTCCTTCCAGGGAGTGAGGGAACAGACACACACAGGAAAGGTCTGCAGCAGTCACTGTTCTAGACAGAGAAAGGAAGGGAGGTTTCTTTCAGCTTGCTGCTCAGAGGTAGAATGGCTGTGATGGTTCAGAAAAGCAATAGCAGACCACACTGAAAACAGGCAGCATGAATCCTGCCTGTGACTGCTTTCTCCTGTGCTGATGCAATGTGCTGCTTTTCTAATACACAGTTCTTTAAGAGATCCAGCCCTCTCTTTAATGCAACAGCATAAACAGCCAACAGAAACGGGAATATTCAAAACCTTGTTTTAAGCCAGACCTGTACTACCAACAGCCAATTTCTCTGGGGAAAAACAGCATGCATAAAAGAAGAGCTCTCTCTCATCCCAGCACAATAACCATGTGGGCAGAGGCTGTTGGCATGAACAGTTAGACCAAAGCACATAAAGAACTGGAGACTTTGCTCAGATTTAGTGGGCTATGCCATCAGGAAGCCTATCTTGCCCATATAAACTGTGTAGCCAATCCAAGAGTTTGGCCTGACAAAAGGGCTGGGATACTGGGAAACTGTTTCCATTCCCCAATCTGGCTTTAAGAAGGAGTAAAGGAAGAGAGGTGAAAACACAAGGGAGAGAATGACAGGCAGGCAATTTCAACGTGCAAGAGCCATTGGGAGAACAGAAGCCTTTCCAGGACTGCTTAGCAATCATGTGCAAGGAATAGGTAGCATGCAAACATAACCCTGTAAAAATGGCAGTGAGCACTGTGCAGAGAAACACTGTGGAAAGGGTTCTGCATCTCCCATAGCAAGCCAGCCTCAGGCTTCCTGCAGCTAATCTGTATTTGAAGCAGAGGGCAGACACTCAGCTCCATGCTGGAAGGACATGAAGTGAGAAGGCAGTGCCAACCACAGGCCTGCAGGCTCAGAGAAAAGCCATTTTATACTGCAAGCCTTTGCTCCACAAGCTTGGCAGCGACTTCACAAATCTCACCCTCTCTCTGTATGCAGAATGTGTACATACGTATGTATGTCTTTCTCATTCCTTGATCTTTATTTTTCATCTTTTAATCAACTTTCTAGGAAATGCATCAGGCCTGTCCCCCAACTCACTACCCTAGACAAGCCAGAATGCTTCTGACAGATGAAGGCTGCAGGCAGACAGGTGCCTCCCTGGAAAGGCCGTGCTCAAGGCAGGTCCTGCACACATCAACTTGTCCTATGGATAGGAAAGCGTGGAGTCCTTCCCAGCAAGCATCTGAGCTGTACATGGCACAGGAGAGAGGTTGAGGACTGCAGTTCCAGGCAGCAGGCACTCCCACAACAAACACAGAGCTACCTTCAGACAGGCCACCAGCCCCATGGTGCAGCCCATTGAAGCTAGAGCATCAAGCCCAGCAACACAGTTGCTAAGATCAAAGTGGCAGAGGGACGCAGGGACCCCCACCTCTTTCCCTTTCTGGAAACCTGCATTTCAGCTTCCAGCTCCACATGCAAGCAAGCTTGAAACTCCCCAGGTTCATTTCCAGAGCCAGGAGGAAGAACAGACAGCTGTACTGAGATCAGACATAGCAAAACCTTCCTCTGACTCATTCAGTATCCCAGAGGCCACAGCCCATTCAAGGCTCTGCCATTCCCTGTCTCCGTTCCCCAGCACCTCCTGAGCCATCAAGAAACACCTGAGACCCTGCAGAGCCAGTTCAGGCAGTAGGAAATCTGCCCCTTTGCTTTGAGGCTCCAAGCAGGGCCTCTACCTCCTTGTGATGAGAGCCAGTGTGGAGAACAGGCAGCAGGCTGGCACACTGGCCATTTGCTGCAGGAGCTGCTGGATGACTTGGGGGGGCGGGGCTTGTGCATCTTCAGGACTTGATACTGTTGGCTACCCAGCAAGCTCTCAGTGGCAGGAGGAGGCAGGGAAGGAGCAGCCTAGGGGACTGTCACTAAAAATTGCTTGGTTCCCACCCTATGGAATGCAGCTGCTAGACTGAAAAAGCCTTTATGGCCCTGTCATTCAAGGCCACGAAGACAAACTCCATTTTCCAAACATTCCCATCATCTTGTCTCATCTGTATATCTCAAAAAGCCCCGGGGAAGATCCAGTCCCAGCCTCCAGGAAGCCTTATCAAATCTGCCCATCCCTACCCACGGCAGAACTCTCAGATGCTTTGATATGCAAATCAGCCACAGGATCCATAACCAGCGCTGTCTGCAATTAACGGCGCACACGGAGTATCCTACACCCAGAGCCTCCTCCCTCCCCAAGAACCACACAGCTGCGCAGGCTTCATATCAGATGATACAGGTCCCAACTGTCTTCGGTGGGAGCAGGAAGTGGTGCCTGCAGTCCTTGGATTTTCAGCACACGGCCTCACCCTGGCCACCAGGATGGAGATGGGGCACTTTCAGAAAGGATGCAGGCTGAGGTAGCACCTCGGTGTGGATGGGCAGATGACAGAGGAGTTGCCGGCAGGATGCTGTGGGGCTCCCAGTGACAGGAGGCTCACACAAAGTGTAATTAGCAACAGAGAAAAAACAGGACCTGGGCACTGCCAGCTCTCAGTACATTTACGGCAAACCTCAGGCTACCTGGGATTTTCTAGAAGTTGTAGTTCCCAGAATGAAGAGATGTTGTGAAGATTTTTTTTCCACGTAAACAATATAAAAACCCCTCCAAACAAGTTCCTAGCCCACTTTATTACTACGGAAAGCTGAAAAATATAACCAAGGATATTTTAAGCCCAGAAAGAAAAAAAAATATTAAACCCCTACGCAAACTAAAAGCAAATCACATTCAGGATTTTTCTTTTCTTGGCTCAACTCATGGCTTCAGAACAGTTCAGGACAGTTGCACTGCACTCCGGTCAAAGGGCAAGAAAACTGAGCATTGCAAAGCCTCGTGGCAATGTCTTCTTGACATGAAAACTGACTCCCTCAGAAAATACAGTAGCTTCAGTTCCTTCCAAGGTTACCAAAGACAGGAACAGACAAAAATAGGGCAAACTTAGTGCAACAAAACATACTTATGAGTCAAACCAGAGCCTCTTCCCAACCCCCTCAAAGGCATCTTCTTTCATGTTTATTTTGCTGTTATGGTATCCAGGTGAAGACTGCAGAATGGACGTCTCTCCCCATAAAGATAGCGTATTCCTACTACTAAAAGGCTCAAGATGAAAAAGGCCTTCCTCGTAGATACCAGCTAATTGCAGTCATTAGAAGTAATGCTTTGCTATTTCTGGTTGAATGGAGTCCTCCTGGAGTCAGTTACAAGCTGAGTGGTCAGCTTTGCGCTCTCTCAGAAGCATTAAGAGTAATAAAAGCTATTAGGGACTGTACAGTGAGATTGGAGGGGAGGGGTAATGGTCCCTGCCAAGGACTTGCAAACGTTCTGTCCCACACTCAGATGGGGCATCGGCAGCACCACCCACAAGGCACCTGAGCTTTACAACCCTTCAGTAAGTAGCTTTGTGACCGCTGCTAATCGGATGTTCCTGCCCCACAGCTCCATGGCCTTCCGTGTGTGATTGCCCCAGAGAAGGACACCACGGAGCAGGACATTTTCACAGTAACAGACAAACCCAGGAGAGAGGGGACTCCTTTCGGATTATGCACAACTAAATTAGCCACTCTAAGTACACACTGATAGGCTTTTTGTTTCTAACTTCTGCTATCGAGAGGAGAAAGAGAGGGAGGTGCCCAGAACCTCAAATTGCCAAAACTGCTCTCCATCCAGCTGAGAGCTACCAAACCTGCTGAGAACCCCAGGCTGACTGCAGCCACATTGCAGATTTTTGGCGTGATGCCCCTCTCCAGCAGGTAGCTACTTAAAAGGTGCACTCTACGGCAGGAGGAAAAAACATGGTTTGCTGATGTGGTGGAGCTGGCGAAGAGCAAAAAGGGATTGCTTGGCTATCTGGCCACGGACAGGAGCGATATCCAATAGCCCTCTCTCAAGTACTACAGGGGAGGAGAAGCAGGGAAATATCAGAAACCTGCTCGCTACTCCCACCACCCTTAGAACATCCCTCCTGCCTCCCTGCTGCTCTCCTTCGCAGCGGTGCCTGCAGGAGCGGCGGGGGGCGGGCAGACGCCTCTCCGAGCCCTAACACGCACAAAAGCACCGACCGCAGAAGAGACGGGCGCCCCGCGGGCAGGGGTCCAGCGACCCCCGAGGTGCACAAACGCAACAACAGCCGAGTCGAGGGACGGCAAAGGACAGGCGCTCGGAGGACAGAAGGAAACCCTGCGCGGCCTTGGGGCGGCGGGCGGCCCTCCGCGCTCCACGGGCGCCGCGCCGGGCGCGACCCCCGCCCCGCTCCGCCCCAAGATGGCAGCAGCGCCCCCGGCCCCGGCCGCCCCCACCGCGGGCTCGGCGCAACGACCGCGCGCCCGGCCCGGCCCGCCCTCAGCACGGCCTGAAGCGCCACCGCAGACCCCTCCCCATCCCCGCCGGCAAAATCCCCCCGGGCCTAGAGGAGCCGCGGCCGCCGCGCCCCAGCCGCCGCCCGCTCACGGGCGGCTCCTTACCCCGTGTCAAGCGCGGACGGGCTCCCCCCGGATCGGGCCGGGCCAGGCGCTGTAGTAGCGCGCTGCTCTCCGCCGCCCTCGGCAGCGAACGGCGACCGCTGGGCTCGGCTGAGTTCGGCTCGGTTCGGCTGCGCTCGCCAGGGGCGGGGCCCCGGCGGTGGGCGGGGCGCGCAGCCGCCGGCTCCGCACAGAGGCGGGGGGCGGGGCCTCGGCGCTGTGTGTGCGCACGGGGGCTGCGCTGGGCAGTAGGGCGCGTGCGCTCGGAAGCTGCCCGCGGAGGTGCTTGGCGGGGTCTGGGGACGGGACGGGACGGGACGGGACGGGTGGGATGCGGTGCCGTGCCGCGCAGTGTAGCGTAGCTCAGTACCGTAGCGCCCAGCAGGACCGGTATTCGGTCTTGCCCCGCCGCTGAGCCAGCCTCCTCTCGGCGTGCTTTTTCCCGGGGCCGGCGCCGGGCCCTCACACGGCCCCGTGGCTGAGCGGCTCGGGGCGCGCACGGCCCCTCATCCACCGGGCGCTGGGGCTGTGCCGCTGCCGTGCTCGCCTGTGGGCCCCAGGGCGCCGGGGCTGGCCGGGCCCTCCCTGCACCCGGATCCCGGCCCTGCTGCCCGTGCCTTGGAGGGAGCCGCTTGCTGGTGCCCCTGGGACTCTGTGCACTGGGCTTGGAACGTGTTAACCCTGAGCATGAGCTGCTGCTCTAGAGGGACGGAGAAACGCCGTCCCCGAAGATGCGCGGCGCGAGCTTAAGCGGTGCTCGAGTGGCATGCAGCGCGGCGGTGGGTGGTGACATTGCACGAAAGGAGCTGAGAGCTGGAGTCTGTGTCGCTTGCACACTGTCCTCCCACTGGCCTGCAGTCCGTGCCTCCGCAGTGTGGCCTGGGAGAGAGGGAAAACACTCTTCTGAAGTTCCTGCATGTTCAGAGCGTTTCTTTGCTCAGAATTCGTGTGGGACTGCGATAATGGAGTTAGGCCTTTGTGGGTATTGAGTAGTCACACAGCAAAGTTAGACCAAAATTCCTGTGTCCTGACAAGTGTGGCATTTGCTCGCGTGTGTCATGGGGACTCAGGAAGTGTGGGCACTAGTCTGTGCTTTCCTGGTTATTCTCCAGAAAGCTCTTTTGGAGGTCCAGTGAATAAGGGAAGGCAACTGGGGGAAAAGACAGTATAACGTATTTCTTAAAAGCATCAATTACTTAATCTTTGTAGTAAAAACAGGTGGACAAGCTAGCCTTTTTAGCAGCAGATGCTCATTTGTTGGCTTCTCTGGTTCCAGAGCTGTCCAGGCTTGCCTGAGAGGGTCTTGTTTGGAAGAAGAGAGACTGAGTTAAGGGAAGTTTCTGAGTGAGAAATGAGGCTTATGCCACAAAAGCTGCAGGTAGTTCTGTACTGCCTTGCAATGTGAGCATGCCTTTGTCTCCAGGTCATGTTTCTCTTAAGCCTGAATTCTGACATTAGGCATCCTTTTCTGGTATAGCTTTATCAGGAAGACCTAGAGCCACTATTGTTTTCTGTTCTGTGAAAAACTAGCCTAGGTCATTGTCATTTGTTGTCAAATCAGTTGTTCCTGTCTTTTTTTCATGGTCGAGACACAGCTATATGATTTCTCTTCCTTCTTGTTTATGTTGTTCTCCTTGTCACAGCTCCTCCCAGCGTGGTTACTGCTGTTTGGGTTGTGATTGCACTTTATTGGTTGTGGCCTGGCCACTCAGGTTGGGGCTGGAAACTAAATCTGGTCTTGTCGCTTTCCACCATTGTCCTGCTCTTGAGACCTCAGTATTTCTAAAACCAGTAAAGCGACATTTAAGAGGTGATAGCAGTGTAAAATTATGATAATGTGGGCAATTCTCTGAATTCTCATGTAATTCCCAAAGGCAGAGATGGGGAGGGACCTTTCTTGGCTTCACCTCAAACCCCACAGGCCCACCAGAGAGAGCTTCTGGATCTGATCCAGTACCTGCTCTATTGCTCATTTCCTTTTACTTCACACAGATAATGGTCCTCTCTGTAGCTTAATTTTCTGCTGGTGCACTGAGAATAACCCCTCATTATTTTAGTACATTGCTGTGAATATGAACATATAGGATGATTTTAGGTGTTTGGATATTAGAACAATAAGTACCGTAAGTACTTAAGAGTTGTGACTTCTGGATACTTAAAAAGTCAAAAGTAAGTTTTATTTTAAAGGTATGCAGCTTTTGTTATCTGCCATTCCAGATCGTGGTCTGGAAAATGAGGTTAATGTGTTTTGCTTCGAAGTTGTTAACAGATGTACCTGTAGTTAGTTTCTGTTGATAACTTGGATCAATAAATGTCCTGTTTAATAGATAATCCTATTCATAAATAGATTTTAAAAATACTTAATTCCTCTTTGTGGATCCTGGCCTTTTTGTCTGTCATTAATGTAAAACCAGTTATGTCTTGGTAATGAATATCTTGTGTATTTTTAACACACACATCCCTTAATCACGTTGCTTCCTTTATGAGGAGAGCTGTGAATGGATTGAGTCCCTTAGTTCACAGTTGGCTCCTGCAGCTCACTGTGGCAGACAGTCTATAAATAGACCTGCAGTGGCAGAGTAGGGGTTTAGGCGTCTGCGTTGCATGTACTGTCTTGGGTTTATATCTTATGTTTAAATGGTGGATGACAGATGCAGTTCAAATCTTTATGGTGCCTGGAGCATGTCTGTTTTGATCTTTTAAAAGAATAGAGGTGATGTTGGTTCCCGCTGTTTGACTCTGCAGATTAGGTCACTGCTATAAAAGTGAAAAATATTTTTACCTGGTTTCTTTGGCTTTGACAACAGGCTTTGGGTAATTTGCCTCAGCATGTGCTTTGCAACATCCATTGGTTTTCCATGAGGCCTGTCTGTGTGGATGATTTGCCAACAGAAATAGGGAAAAGGAATAACTGAATGATTCTGGAATTGCAAATCTTGGGAATATAGGGAGGAGGGGTTAGTTCCAAAACTTGTGATTAAAAAGGAAAGTAGTACTGGATTTGCAGGTAACAGCATTCTTCAAAGTTACAATTGCTCTAGGATAAAGGCAAGGTAAGACTGGTGCCTTGACTGTTTTTTAGTGTATACACCACTGATAAGAACTTGGTCAGAGCTGTTGCACTGGCTTCTGGAGTGTTCAGATGCAGACCTTTTCAGTTCTCCCATGGCTGTATTAGTAGAGCAGATTCATGCAGACCATTCTTGTGAAACACACTGGTGTTTTTGCTGAAATGACAAGAGGTCCTTTTCTTGTCCAAATCTGGTGTTTCTTTGGAGATACTGTCACCACATAAGTCTGGGTTGGCAGTGGAAGAAGTCCCAGTCTTGTCTTGTGCCACATTCCATTGCAGCAGTGTTCATGTGCCTTCAGGTTGAGCTGGATCAAGAAACAGAGCTAGCTGAAAACTGTGACTGATTTACATAAATGCTGAAGCCAGCCTAAGGGAGTTGATGGAAGTGTGTGATGGGGGGACATAGGGCTTCCTTTCTTGGTGATGTGTGCCCTGATGTTCATTCAAACTGAGTATGTAATCCTGTCTTCCTTGTCTGGCACATGTCCTTGCTCTGCATCAGTTCCCTGATAGTCTACTCATGCATTTGATGAAAATGCTGTACGAGTATTTTTTGTATTTTCTAATTTTATTAGGGGGAAACTTACCAGAATTTCTTCATTCAAGAGCCACTCAAGATTGCAGTAAATATAAGCTGGTTCTTTAATATCAAGTAAAAACCACTGAAGGTGATAGCTAGTGCACTTGAAAACGGTGCAGTGGGTAAGTAACTTCTAGATGTTTATAACTGGTGAAGAGTTTCTTTGTTGAGCAGTGTTGGAATTTTGTGTCAGTCTTTTGCATTGAATAGGGTAAGGCAGAAGAGCTCTTGAGAAGAGTATTTGCAGTAGCAGGTTATTGCATGCTCAAAAGTAATTCAGTGAAGTAGAAATAGGTAGTTTTAATGAATATTTGATTAACAAATTCCTCACCCTTTTATGAATGTTACTTCGAGCTCTTTTCTGAGGTCTGTGATAACTTTTAATGGATATGTGGAGAGGGGCAAAGTATCTCTGTGACTATGATTTTCATGAGATAGAGCCACTACTAGAAATTAGTGGCAGCAGGGTAGAAACAGCAAGAGATTCCTCTGCATGGTTCTTTATTGCTGCTTTGGTGCAGTTATGAGTGGTCAATGTTATATCAATAGTTGCTGTTGTGTTAGGCCACTCACTTTAGGACAGTGTCTGTTGAAATACTGTTCTTGCCTGGCATGAAAAACTTGGAAATTAATCCTGCATGAGCAGGAGATTGGACTAAATGACCTCCAAAAGTCCCTTCAAAAATAAATCCTTAGTCAGGGTGTATCAGTGACTAAGTACTAAGCAAGTGGTGGTGTTTTGCCTGTCCAGGGTATTTTGGAGTGTGCTCCTGCCTGTATCAGTTGGGCAGTACCGATGGCATACTTCTGGAAATTCCTACAAATTTTCCAGTGCTTGAAGGTTATGGGGTTACTCTTCCCATACACCTATGAGCACTGAAACCTGGTGACCTGGGGAGAGCCAACTTCAAAAGCAAACTTGGATCATATGCATTCCCTGTGCCTTAATGCAGCTTCCTCTGAGCCTTTTTAAGGCCCACTGGTGTGAGGCAACATGTGCTGGGAAGGAGAAAAGTGCTGGGAGCAGTGGGACTGATGGCTGTCATCGATTTATAGCAGCTCTTCAATTTTGGCACCACCTCTGAGTGTTCATGTGCCAGCACCAAGTGTGGCAGAGTGAATGGCTTCTGTGCCCTTCAAATTTGTTTAGTAAATAGCAACTCCACAGGGGCAAACTGAGGGCAGGAGAGATGAAGTTCACAGCCACAGAGGGATTAAATAGGGACTGGATCTACTTGAGAAGCACCTGGAGACAGACCCAGACTATTGGCTGTTCCTTTCTAGAAAGGAAACTGGCATGTTACAATAGTTGAAGTTGTGATTCACTCTTTGTGAGCACTCTTGCACCCTTGAATGCTCTTCATGCCATAGATGCATTCTTCTTTTCCCTCCACCCTGAACCCTCCTGTTAATTGGAAGCATTCCCC